AAGCTGGGGATTCTGCTTGTGCTTTCTTGTTTTGTTTGGGCGGGGGGGGGGGTTCTTGAGCAAATAGCAGCTAAGTCTTTGCATCGGGATCTTAGGATGTAGAGATATGTAGAGCTGGATCTCCCTAAAGCCTAAGCTCTAAACCCTAAGCCCTAAGCCCTAAACCCTAAACCCTAAGCCATCCCTAAACTAAACCCTAGGCCCTAAACCCTAAACCCTAAACCCGAAAAACACAGAGCAGGCTAGGAATGCATCACCTTCGCATCGGCTCACTGGAGGAGATGCCCATAGCTCCAACGAGGTGCACATGCAAATCGAAACAGTTGAACACGACCGAACACTTGGGATGTTCCCCTTTATACTAATAGTCCTTAATAGGGAATACAATAGGGGGGGGGGTCTATAGGTACTATAGTCCGTATTCAGGACTCTTAGTATAAGGGGGAACATGACCCTGAACCCTAAACCCTGAGGGTCCACGTACCCAAATAGGGAATACTTGGGCCTCAAAGTACTTCCTCTTTTTGGGGGACTTTGGGGCACTAAGTCTACAGCTAGAGAGTAGCACTTTGCTTGGACAAGCCTAAGTTCCAAGTAGGCTTAGGGTTTAGGGCTTCTAGATCTTAACCCGAAACCCTTACACTCTTAGAAACCCTTCAGCCTGCAAACCCACATCAATGGACCTAGGGCTCCGAGGGCATTCGGGAATGATGGTGATCTATCCGATCACTTACAGGGTTCTCTCTGGGAGGGAGGGTGGGCCGCGGGGGATAGTACAGAGCCAAGTACCTGCTTTCCATAACTCCCACTAAGAACCCGAAACCCTAAACCCGGCGGTGTTCTTGGCCAAGTGGCCCTGCTCAGGAGCATAAAGGCGTACCTCCACTCAGAAGAAACTTGCGAGGCTTTAGGTAGGGGGGGGGGGGGGGGTAACCCAAAACCCCAAACCCGAAACCCAAAACCCCAAAGGCCTTCAAGGGTGCAGGGTTTTTTAAGGTTCCTGAGGACCCTTCGTGTCTCACATCCTCATCCGCAGGCTAAAATGCGACATTCCTTCTTGGGAAGAGGAAACAACGGAGCAAACCAACAACATAAGGAACTCATCATGATATGAGCCTTAGGGATAACCCCGACCAGCACGAAACTTATGTGGCATTGTCTCTGCGCCCAAGAAACCTCCACGCAAGAGTCCTTCGAACCTTGAGGATGTGGTAGGTTCTGTACATCATGGTTCCTTTTGGGGTTCCTTCTTTAGAGTGTTGAGCTCAACCATGTCTAGCGTACCTCATCAGGAAGGGGGCGCCCTTACTAGACTAACTATACTTAGTTAAGGGACATATCACCTGCGTATGGTACTTCGGACTCATCTTCAAGCCTTTTACATCATCTCGATCTAGATCTATGGGACGCCTGTGTCACCGTCCGCGCCATGCCAAGATCGAGCCGAACCCAGCGGAGGTGACCTGCATGGCATTTCGGCTTAATAATAAGTGTACAGGGTTCAGGGGTTCGGCTTGTGCTTGCAAACCCTAAACCCTCAACTCTAAAAACCCTAAACCCTTAACATCGGCTCTTTCTTCAATCTACCAAAGGCCCTCGGATCGAGGGTCGAGGTTGAGTTTCGGACGGGCCCCCCCTTGCTATACGTTAGCTGTACTGAAGGGGCTTTCTTTCCTAAGGTAAGAGCACTACAACCCAATTTCGGGCCCTTATAACTCTACTTAGAAACTAGAGTGGGTGGCCCCCCCCTCCTTGTACACAGTTTCTTGAAGGGCTATAGAGGTTCAAGTCGACGATACAAAGCCGAGATCCCTAGCCTAGACCCCCAAAACCCTGCCCTGAGAGTCCCAAAACCCTAAACCCCAAACCCCAAACCCTAAATCCTAAACCCTGAACCCTAAATCCTAAATCCAAAACCCTAAATTTAGGGAACACTAAACCCTAAACCCTAAACCCTAAATCCTAAACCCTAAACCCTGAACCTTAAACCCCGCAGCTTCTTCCGAGTTTCCGGGGCCTGAGGCCACGATCTGACAGTTGCCACACGCGGAGTTGCCTCGCTTCCCGAAACCATGTCATTCAGGGGTTTAGGGGTTTTGGCGCTTTGGGTTAACTAGGGTTTGCTAGGGTTCAATAGGGTTTTGGGTTTATGGGGCTTTGGGGGTTGGGGTTTAGTGTTTACAGGGTTGGGGATTTAGGGGCTGTAGTTTCGCGCTCTTTTTTCTTTCTGGCCGGGGATGCGGGGAGGTGGTACCCAATTCTACGACAAGGTTATACTAACCATACCACAGGGACTCGTAACTTCTAAAACCCTAAACCCGAAACCCTAAACCCTAAACCTTAAACCCTAAACCCTAACTGCTAAACTCTGTGATCTCATTTCAGGCGGCCCTGACACAGCAACCCTACTTATATGACCTGGGAGGTGGAGGCGGGGCGCCGCCTCCTCGTAATCTCCTGCCCCTAAACCCTAAGAAACAGTTTTCCCTAAGCCCTAAACCCGAAACCCTAAACCCCAACCCTAAGAAACCCTAAGAAACCCTAAGGAACCCTAAGGAACCCTGAGAAAATGTAAGAAACCCTTAACCCTAAACCCTAAACCCTGAGAAGCCCGAAGCCCACCCTCCAACCCCTCGTGTTGGAAGCCCCGTCGCCATTGCCGTCCACGGCAGGCCGTGACTTGGAGGCAGCCAGGGCCTGCTGGGTTTAGGGTTTAGGGTTTAGGGTTTAGGGTTTAGGGTTTAGGGTTTAGGGTTTCGGGTTTCGGGTTTGAGGTTGGCTGGGTAGAGTTTTTTGAAATGCAGGGTTGTGCGGGGTGTGCGGTTGAGTTTCGGGTTGAGGGTCTAGGGGTTGGTTGCTTTCAGGATGCTTCAAGTCACCAGAGGTCTCATGATTGCGAGGCTTATAGGGGCTACAAGGCCTACGGATGCAGGGGTCAGGGTTGCGACACCCAAGAAAGCACAACACGAAGCGCCCCCCCCCCCCCCCTCCACAAAAAAAAAAAAAGGAATTGAACTGCAGGTTTCGACTCATCCATGACGCCTCAGAAGCAAGGTTTGTAGGGTTCAGCCCTGAAACTTCGAACCCCTTGAGCCTTCAACCCTGAACTGTATGACGAACTCTCAACGCCTACACCCCCTGGGCCCTAAAGCGCAATAGCCCTACACAAGCAAGCCTCAAACCAGAAACCCTAATCCTTGAAGCCACCCTAACCCTAAACCCCATTCCCCCCGCAACCCTGCAAACCCCAAACGCTCAACTCCGAACGCCCTGGCAACTGGATCCAGCACACCTCTGAGGTGAAAACACGCACAGGTGCGAGAATCCTTGGTGCGAGGGAGGGGGGGGGAGTATGGAAGGGGGCCTACAAGGGGCTAGGTCTCTAAATTAAGGCCCCTTGTTGGGTACCCTGTATCGTATAAACAGGACCCAAAAATGTGCCGTAATTTACAGAGCTACCCAAAGTGAGGTTTAGGGGTTGGTTTAGGCTTTAGGGCTCTGGGAATAGGGCCGCCAGGTTTAGGGCCTGAATCAAGGGTTGGTGTTCAGGTCTAGAGAAGCCGGTGCTGTTCAGTCTTCATGGCTTCATATACCCAGGCAGGTCTCCTGCAGTAGGACTATTCAGGCAAAGCCTGCTAAACCCTAAATCCAAAACCCCAAACCCAAAACCCAAAACCCTGAACCGCTGCAACGTGATTGTGTAGGCTTTGGCCGCTTGGCTTCAAGCTCCTAGGAACGAAAGAGGTCAGGCGGCCAAGCCGAAACATAACAAAGGGGTGTAGGGTTTAGGGTTTAGGGCTTGGGGTTTAGGGTTTGGGGTTTGTTTTTTTTTTTTTTTTTTGTTTTTTTTTGGGGGGGGGAGTTAAGGTTTAGGGCTTCGGGTTTAGGAGTTTAGGGCAGACCAAGCAACAATGATAAAGACTGAATGCCTCAAGTAATCCTGAGAAACCCTAACAAGCCCAAACAACAACAGAAGTCGGAACCCTAAACCCTACACCCTATGCAGGAACAGCAGCTTATGCAGCCCCATGGACAAGCGTGTTTAATGAGAATGACTAGTTGTATGAGTTTATACTGGTTATTCTTCAGGGGTTTAGGCTGTATAGGGTTTAGGATTAGGGAGGCTATTGGTAGTTACATGCTTGCTTGCCCAAAACCAGGGACCCTAAACCCTAAACCCTAAACCCTAAACCCTAAACCCCCCCTAACAAAGCCTTAACTGCCTTCCGGTGGCTCCTCGGAGTCCGGCTTGAGGTTGCTAATGAGGCCGTCCTCGGCGTCCTGCGGAGTCCATCCCCGAACATCTGTTTTGGGTAGTAAGGGCTTTAAGACCCGAGTAGCCTAGGCGGGTTTAGGGTTTAGGGTTTAGGGTTTAGGGTTTAGGGTTAGGGGTTTGAAGCTGACCCAAGAGTAACCTGGGAAGCAAAAGGGTGCCAGTTTTTGGTTTGGAAACCTAAAGCCCCAAAACACAGGGAATGAGGGCCTACTCTGGGTCCTAAATCTTACAGGCATTTGAGCGTTTTGCTGCTTGGGTGGGAGTCATTCTGTCGACCTTGCGCATGGGCTACATCTTTGTGGCAAAGCAGGCTGCACGAGGGTACGCGGTCAATGTCTGGTCAATGCTGGACTACGCGGGCCTTCAGCTTCATAGGAGACCCTAAACCCCAAGTGGGTTTACCGGGTTTAGGGCTTGATGGGTCCGAAGACGGTTAGGCGACTTAAGGCTTCTACAAGCCCAAAACCCTAAGCCCTGCAAATCAGAAACCCTGCTTAGGGGCCCTAAACCCTATACCCGATTTCTGGCTTCTCGAATCCCGGGATCCCAACGGCCAACAGACACTATGATACTATGGGCGCAGAAAGAACTTCGGGCGCGCGTTTAGGGTTTACGGTTTCTTTCTTTCAGATCATAAGAACCATATGAGGAGGAACCGCAGAAGAAGGCACTGCGAGTAAGGTGGCCTGGGTAGGGTGCATCTCTTTCCTTTTTCCGGCTCAGGTCAGGAATCACGCAGCCGATAGGCAGCAACCAGGTACTGTGGCCCAGACGCCAGATGCCAAGCTTGGCCCAAGACCTGTCTAGGTTCATGATTTCAGTCTTTCAGCGCCTATGGGTCCTAAACCCGAAACTTCCAACCATAAACCCTAAACCCGGAGCACTACAGGCTTTGAGAGTTTCGTGTTTTGGGTACCGCAGGACCTGCAGCACGATGCAGCACATGACGTGTGCTCAACACCAAGATTGCTGGAAGTGCAAAGATGAGATTGCCTTAAGGTCTAGGTGTGGGGTTCAGGGTGTAGAGTTTAGGGTTGAGGAATTAGGGTTTGGAGGGGCGCCCCCTAAGGACCCCAAGTTGGGTTACAAGGCTCCTAACTCAGGTTATACGTTCCTTAACTACTCTAGTTCGTATAGAAAGAGGGGTGGCCCTCATTGTAGGGTATTGTCTCCTTTGGCCGGGCACCTCGCCGGTAAACGCGCAGTGCTCCGAGAGCATCGTGGAGGCGTTTCCGGAGAGGGAGAGGCTGATTTCGAAGCCGCCCTGGAAGTCACCCAGGCCTCCCACGGTTTAGGGTTTAGGGTTTATAGGGTTTAGGGTTTAGGGTTTAGGGTTTAGGGTTCAGGGTTCAGGGTGCAACGGAGGGGCTTCCCCCCCCGTAAAAGTGGCACTTGTTTCAGGGAGTTCTGGTACTTATCACCCACTTTAGGTGAGAGCTTGGGTGCCTGGGCTTAACCCCTAAACCCTATACACCCTAAACCCTAACCCTAAACCCTAAACCCTAAACCCTAAACCCTAAACCCTAAACCCTAAACCCCAAAACCCCCAAACCCCTCAACTGCGGAGCCAGGAAGCCTTGCTCGTCCGACGGCTCCTCTTCGAAGAACTGTACGTCTTCGCCCTCAACGCAGCACTGCCTCATGAAGTCTTTTGCCATCCGCAGGAATCCTAAACCCTATAGACCCCGGGTTGAGGGTTTAGGGTTTAGGGTTTGGGTTTACGGTTTAGGGTGGTTACTTTGATAAGAGAATCTTGAACCAACAAAAAGGGAAAGGGCACGACTGGGCTACCAAGTAAAAAAGCGAAGCCTGACTGGAGCAAATCTGCAAGACCCTGATATAGGGGCCTTGATGATTAGAAAAAGGGATTGGGGGGGGGGGGGGGTCATTACAGTAAAATTTTATAGGGGCCATAAGGGAATACTATTCGGGACCCATACCCATAAAGAGGCCCATGCACCCACTAAGGTTTGGGGGTCATTATTGAAAAAATTGTAGGGGCCATAAAGGAATACTACTCGCAATTCGTACGGCCGCTGTATGGGACGAGTGAAGCCTGACTGGAGCCAAGGCGGAGGGAGGTGAAGCGTGAGAGCATGGCTCGAAGCCGGGCTCTTTTTGTCGCCCTAAACCCTAAACCCTAAACCCTAAACCCTAAACCCCAAACCCTAAACCCTAAACAATCAGGCTCGGGAGAGGTGATGCTCCGACATCCTCTCTGTGCACTACTGCATCCAAGCACCCACGCACTGCAGACAATCGGAGCCGTACCGTATGACGCCGTCTACTTGGAGGTTCATGGGCACGCATGACCCCAATCAGAGGTTGACTTATAACCTACTTAGGGGACTTCAGTGCAGTTATAATTGGGGTTCTCAGTACCCATGAACCTCTGAGCAGTCGCGTCCACACTGGGGATCCTCAAGAGGAGCTACCGCTGCAACCTTCTGGCAGGTCCGGGGAGTACTGGGGCAAAAATGGGCTCAGGATATGAATTGCAGTTTGAGGTTTGTAGTTTAGGGTTTGGGAGTCAGGGTTTAGGGTTTAGTGTTTAGGTCATGATATATTCCCAGGGCTTAGGTCTCGGATTTGGGGACAGACTCAATCTATCAGACCCGTATGAGGCTCCACCCGCGAGTGCTTCTCGTGCGAGATTGGGTTTAGGGCTTAGTTGATTTCAGCTGCTCTGAAGATGGTTTCGTGCGCAGGGTTGAAAATTAAATCTGGCAGGGCCTTAAACCCTATAGACCCTACAATGACTGTAGTTCAGGGACAATGATTATAGCCGAAGTTCCTGATAACTCTACGTATCCCTAAACCCTAAACCCTAAACCCCTCCTTGTAACGCTCCCGCGCCATGACTCCGCATTCCTCTCAGGCGCGCGCAGGGCCGGGGCGAGCCGCGCGCAGAAGGCTTCAAAGGCACCCACTGACCCCGCCTGGGGCTTAGGGTTTGGGGTTTAGGGTTTAGAGTTTGGGATTTGGGGTCTGGGGTTTAGGGCTTGGGGTTTAGGATCTGGGTTCAGGGCTTGGCACTTAATTAGGGTTTGGGGGTTCAGGATTCTGGTGTCAGGGCCTCGGATTGTAGGGTGTAGGAGGTCTAAACCCTATAAACCGACCCTAAACCCATGTTTTCTCCTCCCCTAAGACTCCCCCCCAAAAAATGCAGCAATGGCGCCGCGTGGCCGGCAGCCTCGATGTGCAGATACGCGCCATTGGCCAGCAGAAGCCCCTCTGGGCCAGAGTTTAGGGGTTTAGGGTTTAGGGTTTAGGGTTTTAGGGTTTGGGGTTTGGGGTGTAGGGTGTAGGGTTTAGGGTTTAGTCGGGGGTTTAGGGTTTAGGGTTTTGTTAGGCTGGCTCAAAAGGGTTTAGGATCAGTGCTAGCAGTCTAGGATGCAAGGCACATCTCAGCAGGTAGGTACACTTTCCATGAAAAACACGGCCACGACGATGCGTACACATTTCAACAACCAGGACGGTGCTGTAGGGCTAAGGCTTTAGAGTTTAAGGCTTGGGAACCCTTCCCAACGGCCAGTACACAGCCACCATGCTATGTACGCTTTGCAAGTTAGTAGAGCTGTAGGCAGCCCGACCCCACTGTCAAGCATAGTGGACGACTGTCGAACACCTCGTGTTTCATGCGCACAGACTCTGCCGGGCATGCTTGCAAGTTGCAAGCACAATAGGGTGGGGGGGTTCCGAACTCGGGGTACCTTATTGAGGTCCTGATATTTAAGAGAATCCTTGGAGGTCCATAGTAGGGGTCCCTTGTCTTCGTAAACCCCCACATATCCTTGCTGCAATGACCGGGAACAAAAGGCCGTTCACTGACTTCACTACAGCCTTTGTCTTTCTCCAGGCAGGCTGATCCTTGCAAGGTTCTGAACTTTGTCACAGTGCCCCAGGTCCCAGGTACTTTCCGCTGGGGAGCGGAATTGTGGAAGATACTTTGCGTGCGGCCTCGTCATCCGAAATTCCCCACCTTATAGCCTCTAAGTGGCATCAGACGTCCATGCAAACACTGCCCGGCCCAGTTTGCTTCCCAGGTTCTAGCATACGACCGACACAAGGGAATCTTCACATGAGGCATGAAGGTGTCTCAACAATGGGACCTTTGTGGATGGCTTGAGCGGGAATACAGTATTGCTACTGGGCCTTCTTTCTGGGGGGGGGAGATTGAGACCACAACAACCACGTAATCCACATAACTACCTCGCACGCCACGTGGATTTTGAGGCCGCGCAGCACAGACTTGAAGAGCTAACCTAGGGCAAGCAGCGCAAACGTGCCAAATACGAAAAGGACGCTGAGCTTCTGCTTAGGACAGTCGGACGTTGAGGCCGTGCTCTCATCGCATGCAGCAAAACTGCGAGGAATGTGCTGAAGCTGCCGACCAGTGTTTGAAGAATTGGTCAGATTATTGGTCAGATCTGCAACAACACAGCACTCGCACCTAGGGATTACAGTTAGCGAGGCTGCGTTTGCGGATGTAAATGGTCCTGCAATTCGCTTCCCAGTGCTCGCATGGAACGCGACAAGCCCGCCTGGTTCCGTGAAGAAATAAATCTGGTTTGCGGAGTCATAGGCGTTGTCAGCCATGGCAATCGCAGGAATGCGCTCGGCATCATCAGACGTCGCCGACACTTCTCCTGTGTTCGGGTCAACGGTGCAGAGGGCGAAGTCAAAGGAATCATCAAACGCCCTGCAGAGCGCACGCAGCTTTTGAGTGGCTCCATCAAAGAAAATCCCACCGTTTCCGATCGACCTTGACAGAGTGTTCCGAGTTAGCTCTTCCCCCGTTTCAAGGCTCAGGCCAAGCAGCTGCTGGTTCTCAGCCACAAGATAGAAGCGGCCGGCGATGTAGTCAATTGCACGAGTTGATGACATCTTGGACCGCAGATTTATGGTGGCAATGCTTGCTGTGGTGTTTCGCTCAAAGTCCACGTCCACGAAGTGCTCCTGCCCCCCATCCCAGTACTGGCCATACAGCTTCTGCGTTTTCATGTCGAACTCGAGGTTTCCGAGGTTGCCAAAGGCACTGACATCCAAAGTCCGGATTTCTGAGCCGGTCTCTGTGTCCAGCACATACAACGTCTGCGAGGAAATTACTGCAAACTCGTTTGTCACCGGGTTCACCGCCATGCCTCCAGACGGCACCGAAGCAAACTCGAAGCTGCCAATGCGGCTGAAATTCATGCCGCCGGAGAGAAACTTTGCCTAGGTTACCCAGTAGCCTAGGAATCGAAAACGGGTGCCCTTTTTGCTTAAAGGGGCTTACCAAGGAACCTCAACACCCCCCCCCCCCCCCCCCCCAATACTGGGCAGCCTAGTTGCTCTGGCCAGGTGAAATGGCAGCCCTGCCCTGTCATTCCTGAGCACGAGCAGCTCAATGCTCATCAGCGGATCTCCAACATCCCCCATCTCCAGGACACATTTCAGCTCTTGCGCCTCAGTGTAGCTGTCAAAATCGATGTTCACTTGCGCTGGTGAGGTCCTTAGTTGCTGAGTTCATAAGCCCCTCCAGAGTGTACACTTTTAGTTTTGTAGAGATTAAGGTATCCCAAAAAAGTGTAAAGTGTACTCACTCAGCTACTAAGGGTCTGCATCAGCAGGAGGAGGAGGGCAGCTGGCAAGCCAGCAGTGCATGGCGCTCTTGCTCTGATCAGCCGCATTGCTTCTTGAACAGACAAGCCCACACCAGGCTTCTTAGGGTTTAGGGTTTAGGGTTTCGGGTTTAGGGTTTAGGGTTTAGGGTTTACTTAACTTGTATAGGCTTGTCATACCAAAGGTCTCGATGCAAGAGTTAGCCTAGGAATAAAACGGGTGCCCTTCTTGGTTTCCAGGGGGTTATAAGGGAACCCAAACCTGCAAAAAAAAAAACGCCTACTGTGGGTCCTAGTAACCCTAAACCCCAAACCCTAAACCCCAAACCCTACGCTGGGCCCTCGAGTTGAGCAGAAAAGCAAGAAGAGCATGCTCATCGTCTCTGAAACGCTGCAACAGCCCCGACCTTACAGTGCTTCTGCAGAACCCTCAGCCGAACCCTAAACCCTAAACCCTAAACCCTAAACCCTCATTTCAGGCTGAGGGCACTGGGCAGCCTCCGGACCCAGGCACCCGCCCAGCTGCTCCAGAGTCCCCAGAGGGTCGCAGAGATGGAAGAGCGTCCTTGGGCGCCACAGAGCCCCAGGGTTTAGCGTTTAGGTTTAGGGTTTAGGGTTTAGGGTTTAGGGTTTAGGGTTTAGGGTTTAGGGTTTAGGGTTTAGGGTTTAGGGTTTGGTTGAGAAGAGCGTCCTTGCGTGCGCCACGGAGCCCCAAAGCTTAGGGTTTATAGGGTTTATAGGATTTATAGGGTTTTTTAGGGTTTTTTAGGGTTTTTTCGGGTTTTTTAGGGTTTTTTGGGGTTTATGGGGTTTATGGGATTTACCGGGCTTTTTACGGGTTTATAGGTTTATAGGATTTAGGGTTTGGGGTTTACGGTTTAATTTAGGGTTTAGGGGCTCATCGTGTGTTGGATCCAAAAGTTGGTGTTCATTTGGCCCTCAACCCCTGCTCCAATATACCATTGAGGGCTCAATGAACCCTGAAAGGGCTTAGGGTTTAGGGTTCTACCTAAATACGGTTACAGTAGTTTCAGGGTAGATGATCCCAATTAACTGAACCCCAGAAGCCTTCCAAGCAATCTTTCTTGTCCATAACCAAAACCTAGGGAGCTTCAGGATGTTGGTTGGTTTGAGGCTTTTGGGAGCCCTCAACCCACCCCCTAGTTCGGAATGGGGTTGACAAGGCGGGGTCGGTTTCGGCAGGATTTTCCGGAAAGGGTTTTATAAGTAAGGGGGGGGGGGGGGGGGGGGGGGGGGGGGGGGCGGGGGTATTTAATAAAAGGGGGAAGTGATTACCCTAGCCCCAAAAAGGGTTCACCTTTCTCATTATACTCGGATGATATATATATATATATATATATATATTAATATATTCGCAAAAAGTGAAGGTTAACTACCCGGCGCCTAAGTCAAAAGGGTATGACTTGTAGACCATATAAACAAACGTATACTTTCAATGGTTTAGGGTTTACGGTTTAGGGTGGCTAAGACTATGGGGACGGCACATTTGAGAGGCCAACCCTCAATCTGGCTCCTAAACCCTATAAACTCTAAACCGTAAACCGTAAACCCATAAACCCCGGAACCCCTGAACCCCCAAACCCCCAAACCCCCAAACCCCTAAACCCTAGACTCCTAAACCCCGAGACCCCGAAAGCCCTAAACCCCGAACCCCCTGGTAACCCCCCTAAACCTCAAGCCCAGAAGCTCGTCCTACACCCTTACGCGCATTTTCTTGTTTTGCTTTTTAGGGCTTCATGAGGCTCCATAAATGTACTTTCTCGCTTTGGGCTGGAGGATTTTCAGGTTTAATTAGGCTTCTATGGTAATTACTGGGGTCGGTTTGAGGGCCCTAGAAAAAAGAATATGGCTTTGTAAGGACTATTTGGGGGACTAAGGGCAATAAACATGTCAAACCTACCCCCCCTCCCCCCCTTCATATGTCAGCTTGGGTGACCAGGAGCAGAGGATGAGGTCGAACGCGACGCCATGGCGAATGAAGTCCGCTTCGCGAACTTCCGCCAAGCTCTCGAGTGGGAAGCCCTGTTAGCAGCTTGGGGCTAACGCTTTTCGGCTTCGGACTCTTTGGTTTACAGGGCTTAGGGCTAAACCCCTTACCCCAACCCTTCAACCCTTTAACCCTTGAATCAAAAAATTTACACCACCAGGTTATGCCCACTCTTTGTCATAAAAATAGCGGGCAAAGTCAATACAAGGTCATAAAATAGCCGGCAAGGGCATAACAAGGTCCATATGACTTTGTAGTGACCTTGCCCGCCAATTTTATGACCTTGTAATGACCTTGTCCGCTATTTTTATTACCTTAACCGATCTTTGTCATAAAAGTAGCGGGCAAGGTCACTACAAGGTCATCAAAAAAGCCAGCAAGGTCATGACAACTTCCATATGACCTTGTAGTGACCTCGCCCGCAAATTTTCTGACCTTGCAATGACCCTGCCGCACCTTGCCGCTATTGTTATGACCTTGAATTTGGCGATTGGTATTTGTCCGGCAGTTTTCCCACTGCACTTCCAGTCCACCAAAATCACACTTCCGTCGCATTTGCTTTTTTCAAGACCAAGTCGATAGAACCAGCTAGGTCATTCTGCTCGGCGCGTATAGCTCACGCCGTTCGATAAACAATGTGCGTTTTCTCGAACCTGCTCTGGAAATATTTCGGCTTGTCTCCAGCTCCAAGCTCATTGGAGGCGCAAAGACGTCGTGTCCATTCAACAAAACCCTAACTCATGAACTAACCTAAGCCCGAAACCCTGAACCCCGCATAGCATCATGACCCGTCGAAGTATGGCCCTATCACAAGCTCTGTTTTGTCTAATTGGTTCCTCCGGTTAAGCGGATAAGGCCGCAATAAGGTGACACGAGTAAACTCCAAGCTCTCTTCATCAATGCTAAACCCCAAGCCCCGAACCCTGTAGACCCTAAGCCCACCAAACCCATCAACCCTAAAATCCCTCAAAACCCTCTAAGCCACATAAACCCTCCCTAGACCCCAAACCCTAAACCCCAAACCTTATCTGAAATTAAACCCCAACCCCGGAACCCAAACCCAAACCCCCAAACCCCAAACCCCAAACCCCAAACCCCAAACCCCAAACCCCAAACCCCAAACCCCAAACCCTAAACCCTAAACCCTAAACCCTAAACCCTAAACCCTAAACCGCTGGCCTGGTACATCTTCATGTCCACAGCCTCGTCCGCGTGTTCCTCGGAAGGAGCCTGCGGTTCTGATCGTAAGGGATCTGGGCTAGGGTTTAAGGGGTGTAGGGGCGTATATGTATATATCCATATGTATGTATGTGTATATGTATATATATATATAGCTCACCCCCCCCCAATGGACCCACCGCGGATGGCAGCCGAGTCCTAGCCAGATCAAGGCAAAAAACAACAAACAAAAACCAACAAACCAAAAAAATCCAAAAAACCAAAAAAATCCAAAAAACAAAAAAAACCAACAAAACCAAAAAAACCAAAAAAACCAAAAAAACCATCTTTTCCAAAACTATGGGGCTGGGGCCTCCAAAAGATGGTTTTTTTGGTTTTCTCGAGAAAAAGATGGTTTTTTTGGTTCGAAACCATCTTTTTCTCGAGAAAAAGATGGTTTTTGAGCAGCCGCTCTTCGAAAAACCATCTTTTTCTCGAGAAAAAGATGGTTTTACCAGGACAAGACCTCCAAAAACCATCTTTTTCTCGAGAAAAAGATGGTTTTACCAGGGCAAGACCTCCAAAAACCATCTTTTTCTCGAGAAAAAGATGGTTTTACCAGGACAAGACCTCCAAAAACCATCTTTTCTCGAGAAAAAGATGGTTTTTCCAGGACAAGATCTCCAAAAACCATCTTTTTTCTCGAGAAAAAGATGGTTTTTCGAAGAGCGGCTGCTCAAAAACCATCTTTTTCTCGAGAAAAAGATGGTTTCGAACCAAAAAAACCATCTTTTTCTCGAGAAAACCAAAAAAAACATCTTTTGGAGGCCCCAGCCCCATAGTTTTGGAAAAGATGGTTTTTTTGGTTTTTTTGGTATTTTTGGTTTTTTTGGTTGTCTCGAGAAAAAGATGGTGTTTTGGTTCGAAACCATCTTTTTCTCGAGAAAAAGATGGTTTTGAGCAACACCCTTCGAAAAACCATCTTTTTCTCGAGAAAAGATGGTTTTACCAGGAGAAGACCTCCAAAAACCATCTTTTTCTCGAGAAAAAGATGGTTTTACCAGGACAAGACCTCCGGAACCATCTTTTTCTCGAGAAAAAGATGGTTTTTCCAGGACAAGATCTCCAAAAACCATTTTTTCCTCGAGAAAAAGATGGTTTTTCGAAGAGCGGCTGCTCAAAAACCAATTTTTTCTCGAGAAAAAGATGGTTTCGAACCAAAAAAACCATCTTTTTCTCGAGAAAACCAAAAAAACCATCTTTTGGAGGCCTCAGCCCCATAGTTTTGGAAAAGATGTTTTTTTTTGTTTTTTTTGGTTTTTTTGGTTTTCTCGAGAAAAAGATGGTTAAGTTTTAGGGGTTTAAGCCTCGTGCACTACAGGGTTATAAGGTTCTAATCCTATAGGTATTGCCTTAACCTTTAACCCTAAACCTCTAACTTTAAACCCTGCAGGGTTAACCCCGTGAGAAATTTAGAGATAGACCCCGAAAAGACCCTAAACCTTCTTACACGGTGTAATGGTTTAAAAACCGATAGGACATGTATACCTTCAGCGCCTGTAGGGTTCAAGCCTTTGAACGTGCTAGACCCCTATAGGGTGCTAAGGTTCTGACCCTAAAGGGTTTAGGGTTAAGGCTTAAATGCCCTCTAGGTTTAAATGCCTAAGTCTTAAACCCCAAACCTTTAAACCTTCATCCTATGGGGTTTGAAGGTCAAGGGTTTAGGCTTGATTGCCGAGGGCTTTAGGGTCCTGACCCTAGAGGGTTTAGGGTTAAGGAATAGATGCGTAAACCTTAAACCCTTAAGGTTTAAACTCTATGGGCTTAGGTTTTAATGTCTAAATTTTAAACCCTAAGCCTTGAAACCTTCACACTACAGAGTTTAGAGGTGTTAAGGGTGACAAATTGATTACATACTTAGCTTTAAATGCCTGAATCTTAAACCCCAATTCTTTAAACCTTAACCCTATAGGGTTTAAAGGTTAAGGGCTTAGTGTTAATCGCTGTCTTAGGTTAAAATGTCTGAATCTTAAACCCTAAAACTTTAAACCTTCACCCTACAGGGTTTAAAGGTTAAGGGTTTAGGTCGAATCGTCAGCTTAGATTTAAATGTCTAAGTAAAGAATCCTAAACCTTTAAATCTCATCCCTAAGAGTTTAAGGTTAAGGGTTCAATATGAACTGCCGGCATAGGTCTAAATACCTAAACCTTAAACTTAAACCCTAAACCTTTAAATATCTTAACCCTATAGGGTTTAAAGGTTAAAGGCTTAGCGTTAATTGCCGGAATAGGTTTAAATGCCTAAATCTTAAGCCCGAAACCTTTAAACCTTAGCCCAACAGGGTTTAAAGGTTAAGGGTTTAAAATTAGTTGCAGGCTTAATTAGGTTTAAATGCCTACATCTTATATCCTAAACCTTTAAAAATCTTAACCCTACAGGGTTTAAAGGTTAAGAGGCTTGGCTACAGGTTTAAATGGCTAAATATTAAACCCTAAGCCTTTAAACTTTAACCCTACAGGGTTTAAAGGTTAACGGTTTAAAATTAGTTGCAGGCTTAGGTTTAAATGCCTACATCTTAAAGCCTAAACCTGTAAAAATCTTAACCCTATAGAATTTAAAGGTTAAGGGCTTAGCTTTAATTACCGGCATAGGTTCAAATGCCTAAATCTTAAACCCTTAACCTTTAAACCTTAACCCTACAGGGTTTAAGGTTCAGGGTTTTTTTTGCAGGCTTAGGTTTAAATGCCTAGATCTTAAATTATAAACAAAAGCCAACAGAAAGAAAAACCCTCCGTGTGTGTGTGAGAGAGGGTGAATTAAGGAATAGTCAAAAAATCCGGTCACCGCAAAATCACCAGACAGCAGAGGTTTTATCGGTATTTGCGGTACTTTTGCGAAGATCAAGGCCCGCGGTGGGTCCATTGGGCGGGGGGTGACCATATATATATATATACATATATGTATGTATGTATGTATGTATGTATGTATGTATGTATGTACATATGTATGTATGTATGTGCGTACCCTTTTAATGGAGGTTTAGTTTTGTTTTTTGGGGGTGGTCAGGGTCGTTTAGGGTTGGATGAGGGGGGCGGCAGGGGGGGGGGGGGGGCGGGAGGGGGCAGGTGGGGCTGGGAGGGGGGGGGAGGAGGGGGTGAGTTCTGGAGTCCTGGCTGGTTGAGTATGTTGGGGTTGATGAACAGTCCACATTCCTATCATTAATCAGTGTCGTCAGAATTCTTGTTCCTATTCGTTTGCTTGGGTTTTACGGTTTGGGGCTTCAACGCGAGGCGTTTTTGGGCCGCAGACTAGTTCCTGAACACCAAACGCCGGAACAGCAGCCCCAAGCCCGAAATCTGAGCGCTAAACCCTAAACCCTAAACCCTAAGCCCTAAGCCCTAAGCCCTAAGCCCTAAGCCCTAAGCCCTAAGCCCTAATCCCTAAGCCCTAAACCCTAAACCCTAAACCCTAAACCCTAAACCTAAACCCTAAACCCCTAAACCCCTGAACCCCTGAACCCGAAACCCTACCTGGCAATCCGAGCGGCCACTTTTTTGCAGCTTGCTGGGGGAAATCCAGATTTTCCCCACAAAAACGGCCGTATTTTGGACAGAGAGAAAAAGGTATTTCAGGGCATGTGTAAAGCGGCTGCTTTTCAGGCTGGGAGTTGTTCACTCCGCAACCCATGCGTGCAATAGCTCTCTGGTTCCACTATTCCAACCAAGCTCGGTCCGCGGGTCTCCCTAAACCCTAAACCCTAAACCATTAAATTCGACCAGGCTTGCAGGATTGCACAGTTTAACATGGCGGCAACAATCCGAAAACAAAACTTCGGAGTCGTTTCCTCTTCTGCTCGAAGCAGTGGAGCTGCTGTGAGATAGTAGCTGGCATGAGACAACCGGTGAAATGCAAAACAGAACTATCCGCAGGAGGCTTAGAAGAGAGATCATCTGAGCATTCGTAAGTCCTCCCATCCATCAACTTTCACGGCATTTTTCAGTGTTCATGAGAAATGTTCTTTTGGCAGCGCCCGAAAGCGCCTGATTTCTTTTCTTAGCGGCTGGATTTTTGCGGCCTCTTCAAGCGGACACTATTTCTGGCACAAAAAGACCCTGAACCACAACCTGGTACAACATGGACACAAGCACAACCAAACCTTCCGAAAAATTGTGGGGCTTGGGCAAGCGGTTTAGGGCTGGGGTGTGAGGCTTAGGGTTTCGGGCTGAGGGTTTCGGGTTCAGGCTCAGGGTTTGGGGAAAAGGAATTTGCGATGCCTTATGACGTAAACCCCAAACCCCAAACCCAAAAACGCAAAAACCTAAACCCCAAAACTTCAAAACCAAAACCTAAAACCCATAATAAAAAAAAAACACCCAAGACCCTAAACCCCCAATCGCTGAACCCTGAAACCTAAACCCCCAAAACCCCGAACACTAAACTCAGCCGTAAGCCCCAATATAGGGGCCTGAATTTTTGGAACAGGGTTCTGGGGGGGGGGGGGGGGGTGGTGTTATAGTATAGTTACAAAGGGACGCTAAGAGAATCTTACTAGCCCTAAACCCTAGACCCTAAACCCTAAACCCTAAACCCTAAACCCTAAACCCCTACAGTATGCCTGTCGGCCTCTGCATCCCCCGGCTCGGTGGGCGCTAGTAGGTTGACGACCTGTCGGCGCATTCATTAGGCTTCAGGGTTAGTGGTGCAGGCGTTTAGGGTGTAGGGTTTCGGGGTTTAGGGTTTAGGGGTTTAGGGTTTAGGGTTTAGGGGTTTAGGGTTTAGGGTTTAGGGTTTAGGGGTTAAGGTTTGGAGGGCTTAGGGTTTAGGGTCAGTAGGCTACATGTCAGTCTCACAGCTAAGCGCCGGGATATTCTACCCGGCTATACTACGAGTTGCTTACGAGCCCCCAACAAAAAAAAACATGTTCTTCCTTCCAAGGGTAATCTTGGGGTTTTCATCTTTCTTTGTTTGGGGGTTCTTAAGCAAATAATAGTATAGGTGTTGACAAAGCCTCGGGTCCCAACCCAAGCTCTCGGGGTTGTACCTGGGACCCCTAAGGTTGTACCCTTGGGTTTGGGGTTTAGGGTTTAGGGTTTAGGGTTTAGGGATCCTTGAGGCAGTATAAGGGCCACAGTAGGAATCGATCAAGGGGGCGTCTGAGGGATGCAACCTTAGGGGTGCGAGTCTGAACCCCTTGCAAAGCAGTCACCATTTAGGTGTCCTAAGCCTCTGAGGCCCGCGAGGCAGACACGATCCGACAAGCTGAGGTCCAACATACTTCCCCCCAATGACTCAAACGCAAGACTTGAAGACCCGAAACCCTGATCCCTAAACCCTAAACCCTAAACCCTAAACCCTAAACCCTAAACCCTAAACCCTAAACTCAAAGAGGTTGCTGGGAAATATAAGAACTCCTAAGTTCAGCCGTGGGCTACATGTCTCGCATCAAGCGGTGAGGGAAGCTGCCTGCACACAACAGAAGAAGCAACAAAACCGCCCAAAGAACAACGCAGCGATGCCACCTTTAATGGACCTGTCCCGGAGTGAGCCAGTCAAACACGAAATATCCTAAACCCTAAAACCTACGACCCTAAAACCCAAACGCCTACAAGCCTAAAGCCCTAAAACCTGACCATGCCCGAAAGGGTGCATGGAATTAGGATCCAGCCCCTCAAAGAAGCCCCCAAAACCTCGAACCCCAAAGGCCTTCGACCAAAACCAACCTGTCCAAAAGTAGAAAGGCCTCAAACAAAACCCACCCCCCCCCCCCCCCCCCCCACCCATTAAACTTAACCCTAAACCCTAATCTCAAACCCTAAAACCTGAAGCCTTAACCCTAAACCCAAACCCTAAACGCCAAACCAGACCTCCCCACCTTGCCCAACAGCGCATCTGGGACGGCATTCGCTTCGGCGGTGACGCCGCGGAGGTAGCAGGACACTCCTGGAAATACTTGCAATCTTATCGTCGTTTATCGGGTTCAGAGCGTTAGGGTAGCTACAAGGGCCTCTAGTTGGGGAGCCCTCATACCCTTACCAAGGGCTTGTGGCTGGGAGGGCGTAGGGCTTTAGGGCTTTAGACTTTAGGCTTTCGGAGTTTTTAGGGTTTATGGTTTAAAGGGTTTAGGGTTAGGGTTTATGGTTTAGGGTTTAGGGTTGAGGGCTCGAGGGGTTCGAGGCAAGAGTCAGGGTCTCGACAGGAACTAGTGCGAGGCTTCGATGATTGGGACAGGGCTGATTTGTGGGAGGCTCCTAGGCACGCCACTCTGCATCCTGCCCGAGCTCAGTTTGGGATTTAGGTTTTAAGGTTTAGGGTTTAGGGTTTCGGGTTTAAGGTTTAGGGTTTAGTGTTAGATGCACCCTGAAACGGGCCCAAGCTAGGCAGAACTTTTTGTGGGAACTCCAACAGCGGAACGTGTGGAATCTAGTAGGTATAGCGATAAATGCCCACGCGCGAGTCTGTACCCACCAGTGTTCTATCCACCCACCAATGATCGTCAGAGGTTCCCATTCTTGCGGTTCCCACTGAATACCGGCCGTCGACGATAACAGCCGCCGTCGACCCTCCACGACCTTCAACCCAAACCCTAAACCCCAAACGGGCCCCAGACCCTAAGCCCTAAGCCCTAAGCCCTAAACCCTAAACCCTACACCAAAACCCTAAACCCTAAACCCTTAACCCTAAAACCTTTCAGCATACGCCCGCGTGCCTTTGCGGCTTGCCAGCGCGGCAATCTCCAAGAGCCTGGGGCTCATCCCTACTTGGAGGTTCATGGGTACTCATAACCACCTAGGGTTTCGGGTTTTTAATAGGGTTTAGGTTTTAGGGTTCAGGGCGATAACCACACTTATAAGTCTACTTATAACCTACTTAGGGGACTTAGGGGGCTTATAAGTACAGCTATAATTAGGGTTATAAGTACCCGGAACCTCCAGGTACTGAGTCCAACACCTTACTGGGTTCCAGAGGAGAGGATGGAAAGGGTAGGGTTTAGGGTTTAGGGTTCAGGGTTTAGGGTTTACAGGGTTTACAGGGTTTGTAGGGTTTCTCGAGTCTATAGGGTCTATAGGGTCTATAGGGTCTATAGGGTTTATAGGGTTTATAGGGTTTATAGGGTTTATAGGGTTTATAGGGTTTATAGGGTTTATAGGGTTTATAGGGTTTATAGGGTATAGGGTTTAGGGCTCTGCTCTATAGGGTTTGGGGTTTGGGCTTGAGGGTTTGGCCGCTGAGTCCTAGCTTAAGAACCGGACACCATCCTTCTTTGTCTACAGCTTGCCCACAAATCCCAGGTTGAACCCCATAAACCCTCATCCCTCCACACTTCGTGCTTGGGGATAGAGTTAAGGAGGCAGAAGGCACAGTGCCTGGGATGGACCAAACCCCAAGCCCTCAACCCTCAACCCTAAACCCTACAGGCATCCTTAAGTAGATAGACTATTTGAAAATCCGAAAATTCAAAAAAAAACCTTTCCAGAACGATAGATAGAATGTCAAAAACCCAAAACGACAGATGGAGTATTGGCCTAAAGGTTAGGGCGAAGAGCCGCCCTAGGGGTCGGGGTCAACTGTATTCTATCTATGGGTTTCCTCAGGAGTTGGAGGTGCTCTCTTCGGGGGAGAGCATCATAAAAGTCACATATTATGACATCCTTAAGATTTTCATGATCCCGCAAATGTTCTATGTGTGGGTTCAAATATTCTATGTATGGGTTCCTCCAAATATTCTATCTGTGGGTTCCAGATTCTATCTATGGGTTCCTCGAACAACGTGGGAAAACGCCAACGTAGGAAACGCCAAAACCACCCCCCCCCCTCCCCACAAAAAAAATTATTTTAAGGATGACTATAAGCCCTAAGCCCTAAGACCTAAACCCTAAGCCCTAAACCCTAAACCCTAAGGCTCTGTTCAGGGAGGATCCATTCCATGCGTGCCGGCTGGCTGACCGCCACTGCCGCAGCCTGCGTCGAGCACCCGAAGCCTCCCAAATGCTCAAGCCATCAAAACGGGCCCGACTTCTCAGTTCTTTTGTGTTCAGGGTAAAGGGGGTGGGGTTTGGGGTTTAGGGTTTAGGGTTTAGGGTTGAGGGTTGAGGGTTGAGGGTTTAGGGTTTATAGGGTTTAGGGCCTTAGGGTTTCGGGTTTCGGGTGCAGGGATTCCGCGCCATCTTTGGCCTCCCACCTTGCGGGTCGAAGTCGTTCCATGGCTTTCTCAGCAGCCTCCAAGCCCGTGCCTGAGAGTTCGGGCATTACAGTAGGTTGGGGTTTAGGGTTTAGGGTTTAGGGTTTAGGGTTTAAGTAGGGTTTAGGGTTCAGGGTTCAGGGTTTAGGGTTTAGGGTAAACCCTAAACCCGAAACCCTAAACCCTGAACCCCAAACCCCAAACCCCAAACCCTTGACCCTACATTTGCTCCAGGGTTTGGTGTAGGGCTTTTTCGCTCCACATGGCTTTGGGGCGGCCCTGTTGCAACGGTGGAGGTGTGACAGCTCAAATCTTCTCTGATCCTCTTGCGAAGGTCCAGAGACTCATAAGCCATCTGCAAACCCGCCGGACAGCTGAGTTCTTGAGTGAACTTGTAAGAGCGACAACCCTACTCATTACACAGATTGAACTTGTTAAGCCGTACTACCTTCCCCTTGTATGACCCCCTTCCCTGGCATTATGAAAACCACTTGAACTGGAACGGAGCGATTTTGATTAGACCGCAGTGCAGGTTTAGGCCCGAAGTTTCTGCTCTGCAAAGCCATTTCCCCTAATTGCAAAAGCCCATCGGTGCGAGGGAGATTGCACCGTTTTCGGGCAAGAAGCCCTTCCAATACTGGGGGGGGGAACGGATTAATTGCGTTGGAGCAAGAAGCCCGCGGAGACACCCTGAAAATCCTGCAAGGCTTAGTCCTAAACTCTAAACCATTATGGAGACTTAGCTTAAATTCCCTAGCAGCAACCCTGTAACTCAGCCCGAAACGGCACACCCGCTTCCACTTTTCGTCACCTCTTTTGTATAGCCGCTCCTAAATCGATTCTGACTCCTCGTTCGAGCCAACACTACTGACTTCGGAGCAGTCATCCGAGAGCTGGGAGCCGGCGTTCCTATCGGAGGAGGCATGGTCTAGGGTTGGGGGTTATTTTGGAAACCGGAACACCTGAAACGGATGGGAGTTAGGGTTGAGGATGGGTTGGGGTTTCAGAGGCTGCCAACCCTAATGACGAAACCATGTGAGAGCGAACAGCTCTCTGGAGCTTCAGGGAGCTTAGGGCTTAGGGCTTAGGGTTTAGGGTTTAGGGTTTAGGGTTTAGGGTTTAGGGTGTTCTGCACCATTGTTAGGGCACTATTTACAAGTAATCATGTTTGTTCCTGATTGGGTTGAAGTAATCCTAAAAAACATGCAACATGAATACAAAACGACCCGGAGGTCGACGTCAACGCAAAAAGCCAGAGGTTGGCGCGATAAACCCTAAACCCTAAACCCTAAACCCTAAACCCTAAACCCTAAACCCTAAACCCTAAACCCTAAACCCTAGGGATTTGCGTGAGCTTTGGCTTGCACATCTCAGGGCCCAGCTGGTTTCCCCCTCAGAATGCAGAAAGACACAACGTCCCGAAACCCAAAACTCCAGCTTTCACACGACTCCAAGTACACAAAACATGCACATTTGGTCCCTAAACCCTAAACCCTAAACCCTAAACCCTAAACCCTAAACCCTAAACCCTAAACCCTAAACCCTAAACCCTAAACCCTGGGAGCCCCCTGAGCTCCCCTTCCCACACAGTGGCCTGGACATGACAAAGTCGGCGGCCAGGACGCAAGTGGCGGCCACAACGAGCCCCCCGCAAATTTCGAAGCCATGCCTCCCCCAGCTCTGAGGGTCGGGTTTAGGGTTTAGGGTTTAGGGTTTAGGGTTTAGGGTTTAGGGTTTAGGGTTTAGGGTTTAGGGTTTAGGGTTTAGGGTTTAGGGTTTAGGGTTTAGGGTTTAGGGTTGTCTCATGGGCCCTGAATATGGTCCCTAAGCTCCTTTGAAGGGTTCTGCTGCCTGGGCCCTTACTTTGTATAGGGCATATAAGGGTGTTCAAGGGGTACCCTTTTAAGTGCCCATATCAAGGGGCCATGTAACTACCCTTAGACCAACCGACCCTTACAGGGCCTTAGGCTTTGTTAGGATGTAGGGATCCCTACACAATATTAGGGTTTAGGGCTCAGGGTTTAGGGCACAGAGCTTCGGGTTTACTAGAGTAACAGGACTAAAGCCACATATGGCTCCTGCGAAGTCACGAGACCCAACAAGCTTGCAGTTGGCCATGTACCGGTGGAGGCTTCCCAGGGCCCAGGGTGTAGGATTTAGGGTTAATTTGGGTTTAGGGTTTAGTGTGTGCGTTTCATGATCCTAGTGCCATTCATGGTCTTGCTTCGGGTTATTTGGGGTGTCCCTAATCCCCTATGCAAAACCAACTTGCAAAAAGGCGCATACAACAAAACTCGCACTTGCATGTATGCCTGTGAACCCTGATAGGGTTTTTTTGCGTTCCGCTCTGAGGGGATTGAGCACAACTCGCCCTAAACCCTAAACCCTAAAACCCAAAAAAACCATAAACCCTATAAATCCTAAACCTTAGAAACCCTATGATTAAACCCTATAAACCCTATAAACACTATAAACCCTATAAACCCTATAAACCCTATAAACCCTATAAACCCTATAAACCCTATAAACCCTATAAACCCTATAAACCCTATAAACCCTATAAACCCTACACCCTATAAACCCTGAACCTTCCGACGATCTGAGGCATGTCTGCCACCAGCCGCACCTGTTGACGGCAAAGGAGGACAGAATTGCACCTCCGGCCTGGCAAGCAAGCAAGTGGGGTTTCGAGTTTGAAATTTGGGGGGGTGTAGGGCTTAAAACACCAGCTTGCAGCAGACCCTAAACCCTAAACCCTGAACTCTAAACCCTAAACCGCCTGAGCCGCCCAAACAACACTGAACCCGAAAACCCTACCCTGCACTTGCCTGCACAAACCACTCCACCGCGCCCGCGCTGTAGGCCTCATGTACCTCAGGTACCTTCAGGGTTAGGATTTAGGGTTTAGGGTTTAGGGTTGAGGGTTTAGGGTATGTTGCGTTAGGGTCTATAGGGTTCGAGGCTTTTGCTGCCTATAGGGTTTAGAGTTGAGAGCAGGGAGTTTAAAGTTTAGGGTATACAGGGTTTAATTAGGGTTTATACTTGGAGGTTCACGGGTGCTTATGACCCTGTACTTATGAGCCCCAGAAGTAGGTTCTAGGCAAACTGAAAATTGGAGACATAATGGTTATAAGGACCCATGAACCTCCAAGTAGGGATAGCTTCTGTAGGGTTCAGCAAACCCTAAACCCTAACCCCTAAACTCTAAACTCTAAGCTCTAAACCCTAAACCCTTAAACCCTTAACACCTAAACCCCAAAACCCTAAACCCTACAGGATTTGGGGGCTGTACCGTCTGTTTTTTTTGCCGGGAGAAATTAGGGGTCAACTTGCTGGATCCTGAACCCTGAACGCTCTGAACCCCCCTGACCCTAAACCCTAAACCCTAAACCCTAAACCCTAAACCCTAAACCCTAGACCCTAGACCCTAAACCCTAAACCCTGAACCCTGAACCCTGAACCCTGAACCCTGAGCCCTCGCCTCGTGGCAGATGTGCGTCAGCGCCACTCCCAGGAAGCCGAGTGAGGCGCCACCCACGATTGCCATGGCCGCGACCAGCGCCCCGCGCCGCACGGCGAGATCTGTTCCCTCCAGAAGGGGGGACCTCGGCTCGCAGTTCAGGGTTTTGGGGGGGTTTAGGGTTTAGGGTTTATAGGGTTCAGGGTTTATAGGGTTTAGGGTTTATAGGGGTTAGGGTGTGTAGGGTTCAGGGTTTGGGGTTTAGAGTTTTGGGTTTGGGGAGCTTCGGGGGTTTAGGAGTTTAGGGGGTTCAGGGTTTAGCGAGTTTGGGGGGTTTAGGAGTTTAGGGACTTAGGGTCTGCGGGTTAAGGCCTGAAGTGGGGGTAAAGGGCTTCTGGGTTGGGGTCCTAAAAAGTTGGGGTCCTAAAAAGTATATATGGTTCACCCTGAGCCCTTCCCTATCATACAAGAATTTAAACCTTAACGATCTTCGTGGGCAAGGCACAAATCTTCATGAACAAGGTACAAATCTTCGTGGGCAAAGCACAAGTCTTCGTGGGCAAGGCACATTTCTTCATGGGAAAAGGCGCAACTCTTCGCGGGCGGGGCACAAATCTTCGTGGGCAAGGCCCGTTTTGGGGTGTTGGGATGGAAACCAGCTGCGTGGAGAATATGAACCCTGGTATTTCTTAATGTGTTGGGATTCTCTGGGTGGTGCTCGACCCGGAGCTGCTGAACCCCAAACCCTAAACCCTCAAAGCCTAAAAAAAACCTAAAAAGCCTAAAAGCCCGAAACCCTCAACCCTCTAAACCTTCTAAACCTTCTAAACCCTAAACCTAAAAACCCTTAACTCCAACCCAAGGAGCACGATGATGCCCGCTGCTACCAGGCCGATGGACGCCGCGACGAAGTTGTAGAGGATGAGGCCTTAGAAGCGCTAAACCCTAAACCCTAAACCCTAAACCCTAAACCCTAAACCCTAAACCCTAAACCCTAAACCCTAAACCCTAAACCCTAAACCCTAAACCCTACACTTGTAGGCTCCTTATTGTAGTTTCTACAAAAACCCAAAAAGGTTAAAGTCAGCCAGAAGAAAGCCAAGAGGCGCTCCGGCCGCCGCGGCTCGCGTGCGGAGAAGAGCATCCTTGGTTAGGGATTGGGGGTTTAGGGTTTTTAGGTTTAGGGTTTAGGGTTTAGGGTTTAGGGTTTAGGGTTTAGGGTTTAGGGTTTAGGGTTTAGGGTTTGGGTGTTTAGGGTTTTTAGGGTGTTTAGGATTTTTAGGGTTCTTCTTTAGGGTTCTTTAGGGTTCTTTAGGGAGTTAGGGGTTTTTAGGGGTTGAGGGCTTGGGGCTGAGGGCTTTTAGGGTGTAGCGTTTAGGGTTTAGTGGGCAGCGAGCTTAGGACGTATATTTGATTTAGGATGGAGCGGGGCTTGGGGGCTTGTAGACGGTGTGTGTAGGTTTTAGAGCTAAAGGAGTCAAACTTAGATACACCTGGCAGAAGAGATGCTTCTGCAAAAGCTCCAATGCTTCGGGTGTACCTAGACCTTCAGTCATTGCGGGGGTTGGAAGCCTTGGGGGGCGCGGGCAGGGTTGCGAGTGTGGACTTCTTTAAGGCTAGGGTTTAGGGTTTAATTAGGGTTTAGGGTTTAGGGTTCAGGGTTTAGAGTTTAGGGTTAGTCTTGTCATTCAGTGCAGCTCAGCAGCCCCGCAATCACGCCGATGGCGATGAAGGACGCATCCGTCCACTTCGTGAAGTCGGGAGTTGCGTCCAAAGTCTCGGAAATCAAGGCATCCTGCACCTTTTCGGGGATCATCTTCTAGGAGGTTTAGGGTTTATAGGGTTTAGGGTTTAGGGTTTAGGGTTTAGGATTTAGGGTTTAGGGTTTAGGGTGTAGGGTTTAGGGTCTGCACCTTGTTCGGGGATCATATTCTAGGGTGGCCCTTAAAACCTTCTGAACAAAGTTTCCTGAACATGACACTCTTGAACCCAATAAGGGGACAGAAATCTATATTCCAAGGGCCTACCTAGTATTCAATCTCATATGTCCTCTACTCTAAAACCTCTTAGGGTGCTTTCCCATCTTCGGGTGCATGAACCATCAGCCCTTTTAGGGTTCATGTCGTTTAGGGTTTAGGGTTTAGGGTTTTGGGTTTTAGGGTTTAGGGTTTAGGGTTTCGGCTTTAGGGGTAACCCCAAGGAACGGCTGGGATTGTGTAGCTGACCGCGCCAAGGGTGGCGTAGCTGCCCATCTTCAGCCAGAACCTTGGGGTACCCTAAACCCTAAACCCTAAACCCTAAACCCCAAACCCTAAACCCTAAACATCCGAGGAACCTTGGGTGCTTTCCCAAGCTGCGAAGGTTTTTTCTGACCGACGGGATCTCCTCTGCCTGTGGCTTGCCAGCACCTTGGGGAAATGAAAGCGGACCCTAAAAGGGTTTAGGGTTTAGGGCTTATGGTCCATATACCTTAATAGGGATTGGAGTAGTATAGGGTGTATGACCCCACTTTTAGGATTCATTTCCTGAGGCACTCTCATCGTGGAAGATCAAGAAGAGCACGATTGCTAGCGACACTCCAATCGCCTGGTAAAGAAGGAACTGCTCATGATCTTGCCGAGTTTTCACCACTGTCGGGATCAGAAGTGCGCTGAAACACCAGCCTGCGTAGTTGGACTGGACCCCGATACTCGTGGCCAGGGTCTGCAGCTCTGGGGGGAACCATCGCTCGCCCATGACCGCATAGGCCATGCAACACACGGCAAAGGCCACTCCGATAGACACGGTCGAGGCCAGGCACATAGCCCAGTTGCCC